CCCCCCCCCCCCCCCCCCCCCCGAAAACGCACGCACTTTGTCACAGCCCCCCACGGCAACGTTCTCAAGTAGTAGGTCGTCTGGAAGGTCGAGATGATCTCGTCTCGGATCCTCCTCCCCGCCAGGCCGTAGCCCGTGGTCCCCATGTTGATGAGCGCCGGGTTGACCAGGACCATGAACTGCCCCCTGGCCTCGATCTGAAAGTGTTGACGAAGGACGAGGCGAAGGCCGGCCGGAGAAAGGGAACGAGTGCGTGCGTGTTGAGTTTGAGTTGAGAAGATATGTAGGGGCGTACAATATTCCAAGTAGATGGAAAGGTGGAGATGGTCAAGGTGGGGGAGCGAGAGTGATAGAGAGTGCAAGAGTGTGGGAGAGAGAGAGAGAGAGAGAGAGAGAGAGAGAGAGAGAGAGAGAGAGAGAGAGAGAGAGAGAGAGAGAGAGAGAGAGAGAGAGAGAGAGAGAGAGAGAGAGAGACAGGGAGAGAGAGATGGAGACACACAAACAGAGAAAGCAAAGCAGGGGCGCGTTCAAGACAGAACAAGCCCGATGCTAAGGAGGACATCACCAAGCACCGTTGCACAAAGCCCGAACTCGCGAGCCTCACCGCCGCAAACAACCCCCGAGAGATGCAACAACACGAACACGAGTTATTGCTCAGCCACTTATTTTGAACACATGAAAAAAATTGGAAGGCTGTGGGATTGCCGGCAATCACTTGTTCTCTCGCTCGAAATTGTGAGCGTCGTGACAAATCTGAAAGAGGGAGGTGGCCACTTCTACCCGCACGCAGGCAGTCTCGCGTTAGGTCGCAACGGTACGCTAACACAGCACGAGGTTGGGAGGTATGCATAGGTCTCGCTTCCGTCCCATAAGAGGAGTATCTACATGTCAGCACTTTCACGTGAATGGTAGGGCTTGTCGTCTGCCCCACACCGAACACCGTGTGGCTACGGAGTTTCAACAGCAGGCCTGTACAGCTTCAAAGGGGAAGTTGTTAGAATACGCCGGCTTGTCGTGTGAACACGGTTGGGCGCGATTGGCCGGGAAGAGAGGGTGATTTCTTGACTGACTCGACCCCGCGAAACATTACCCGTGCTTCTGAGAGGCAGAAGAGAAGAGAGTGTCAACTACAAGCTGAGCACCGACGGGCGCCGACACATCATGCTTCCTCCATACACTTGTGTGTCGCATTCCAAGTGCCACCGTAGGTCGGTTGTCACGACCGAGGGCTCACGCAAAAAAGAAAAAAACACCGAGTGAGAATAAAATAAAAAAAAGCGGTGCGCGCTTGGTCAGCATCCAAACCCTGTCGTGCGACATCTCTACAAGGTTATTTCCCCGCAGTCTGCTGTACGAGTTGTGCACCACAGCAGTCCCTTCTACTCATCTAGCAACGCCTGCGGCAGGAGGCACACCTTCTTCACGAGCTCGAGCGCGAAGTCCGCCTCCGAGTTCTGAGGGCACAGCAGAATGCACCCGACGTCCGTGTCTGCCGGCGAGTCCGTCTTCACCGTGCAAAACCTTACCCCAGCGGGCACCTGTCCAAAACGCCCCCCAATCCGAGAGCGGAGAAAGAAAACGCCAAGTCAACACGGGGCTATCACAACAAGTCAATCGAACGCAGGCAGGTCATCCACCAAGAGCTCCGGGAAATGGGCGTGCATGACGACTATCTTTCTCTCTATTTAGCTGGCGGATGTGAGTGTGCACAAGCTCTTCATGCAACCCATGCACGGGGTGCGACGATGGAGTCAACGTAAGACAACAGGTCCAATCAGAGCTCAGCACTAAGCCGTGGGGTATGCAGGGCCCCGTCCGTCCGAACAACACCCCTGCCCTTTCTCCTCTTTGTCTCTCTCTTGTTCTTCTCCCCCAAAAACAAGCGTCACCTGCGCATTCTCGGTGCCAGACCCCCACTCGAACTTGGCGAGTGCCGCCGACCCGGCATCCGGGAAAAATAAAGCCAGCGTTTGCCCTGTTGAAACACGTCGCACCAAAGCTACAAAGGTTTCAGTCCGCACAAGGTCAGCCATTTCTTCATTCGCACGGTGTGGGTCTTTTCGAGAAAAAAAAATCGGTCAGGGCCGCCGACAGGATGCACGGAACCCAGCAGGGAGGATAGATGGCTCGCCCCACAGGCATGCCTGAGGATCGTGAAAGTGGTCCAAGCCGTAGCTGTTGAATGCCGCCGGTCACACCTCAAGCGCTCACGGTACAGCCCTTCAGATGCGGACCAGCACGACTAGCGTTAAACGTTAATTTCGAACCAGCTTCGGGAGAGGGAAGCCTCTGATCATGTGGATGTTCATGATGTGCTTCGCACAACGAGGAAAAAATCCAAACGCAATAAAACTGAAGTGGCCGCAGCAGTCGAGCAACCAACTAGTCATGGATTGCGTTAGTCGGCGGCATCACCGACATGAACACCACCAATGCCCACCCGTCCGCTCCCACCTGTTCCCTCTTCCCCCCCCTCAACCCCTCCCCCGCCGCAGATGAGGGCCTCGGCCAACAGCTTCGTGAACTGCTTCGCCATCTCCAGGCTGGCCTTGAGCTTGGTGTAAGTCTCGTCCCCGGCAGAGGTGTCGAAGTCCACTCGTAAGCGTTTTTGTCCCTGGCGTTTGTGACGGCAGGCGTTGGGGCATGTCGTCTTCACACCAACACCAACAGCACCCCGGGATTCGAGCTCCCGTTCCTCTTCCGTGACAATCCAATCTTTTACCGAGGACCGAGTTTCGGCAGTCGCAGGTTATGCAGCCTGACTCAAAACTTATGCGCAGGAAGCCAAACAACAAGCCCGAAAACTCGTTTTTCGCATGCGCACCCCCAAGAACAACGAGTTGATCAACAAGTGGACATGATCACGCAGCCAAACGAGCGCAAGAGCTTGCGTTCATGTCCGTTTCGATGAATCGCAGACGTTCAGCAGGCTGTCTCGCAGAAACGCGCTGGACTTGACCCCCAAGTCTGTGATACCATACCACATGTTGTACAGTTGAGCTGGCAAGACCAACACGACGACGTCGTCAACCGTGGAAGCATGCCCTGCTCCGGTGCAATCCAAGCATGCATGGTACGCAGTAGCCATGCGGCAGCTGAATGTACTGCCGTCAAGACAGCGCCCTACTCAACAGCGACCACCCATCAAGCCAGCTAGCTGCCACTACCGTACTGGTACACTGCTGTGGGGTAATGGGGGTAGGTAATTATAGTGTAGTACACGGAAGAGAGAGGCTAGGCGGCAGAGGTGTTTGTGCAGACATGTACAGCCGCACGACATGCGGCAGACCCGCGGACCATGAGAGCTCTCCTCTCATGTCACAACACCAGGCACATTGTGGTAGCATTGCATGCTCTTAATCTGCACACGGTTGGGTAAACGAGTAAACTTGGTGCGCAAAACACGCAAAAAATGAACGTGGGTAAATCTCGAATGGGTAGTCTCTCTGTGTGTGTATTCATTTTTCCAAATGTTAAAAGCTGCAAATGTCGCTCATGAATTTATCTCAAGCAGGCACGGAGTGGAGCTGATCGCCAAGAACACTGAAGATATAGATATTGATAACGCGGCAAAGATAGCCGGGGCCAGAGTGCCCGTGATCTTCCCAGAGCGCGCCGAGCCAACGGGTAAGGTGCCGGAACGGCACGTGTTGCAACGTTGTAACCCTGGTTCGGAGTGTTCAGTGCCCTCTCGTTGGTCTCATCCCGAGAAACATCAAGTGCAACTTGCTTTATTTTCTTGTTTTGTTTTGCAAGAAATGCACTTCTTTCATTTCCTTGCAAGCCTCCCGTACTCCATCATCTCTCCGAAACAACGCTCCTAATCCCCCAACGCATCATATCTCCGTCATGAACATGTGCTCCTTGCCCTCCCGCGTGTTTCGTCCACACTCAAGTTGCTACATACCTCCTCCATGCACTGCAGGGTTGACCGACCCATGCGCACGATCGAGTCCTCGAAAGAATCGGGTAGCTCAGTCACGAAGGGATCTCTGCTTCCGTCTTGAACTTCTCCCATCGCTTCAGCAGCAGCAGCAACAGCAGCAGCAGCAGCAGCAGGGACTTCCGGCGACGTCGACATGCAAGCCCTCCGGCGGCGAGTCACAGCAGTGCCACTGCTGCTGCTGCTGCTGTCCCTGAAGCAGGCAGACGATGAGCGTCTCAGGTGGCTTGGGCTTACCCATCGGGCTGCGGAATTCGTCACAAACGCCGCTGAGTGAGGGAAGACACAGGCGGAAAAGATGCCCAGGGTCACGAGCGACAGGCGTTGAGACCCAGGCATCATGCTACCGCTGTACTGCTGTAGTTGTCCCTGTCTTTCGCACTTCCTTCGCAATCAGGATTGCAATCCTCCACGGGGAGGGGGTGCGCGAACAGGAACAAGGTACTGGGCAGGTTCTCAGTTCTCAGGTTCTCCCACGGAGCGATACGTGGCGAAAAACTCGCCGCATGTTTCGAGAAGCCATCAGGTGCATCAGTCAGACAGTCAGACAGCCCCACGCCCCCACGCCCCACGGGAGCATTATCGCGCGATCGGGCAGGAGCAGGCGTATCGAGAGGGGGAGCGAGACACGAGAAAGTGGGAACGTGAAGGTTTACTACAACACTCGCGCACATGTGAGAACTCGCACTTCAACTATGCTACGACAACCAGTTGCACAAGCTCTGTTAGAATGACGATCTCGGATGATTTAAATGTATTGATGCGTGAGACAGACACTCGCCTTGCAAGCAAAATGGGGATGGAGCAAACGGTGCGACCGAGGCTCGCCTGCAAGAATTTTTGCAGAGCAGGAGTATGGCCCAGATTTTGTTAGCTTCGGTCTGTGTCAAGGGGGGGTTAGGACATAGCCCCTTCAAGTGTACAGCAGTACCTCCAACAAGATGTGTTCCTGTGAGTCCCAGGTTCGCTGTTTTCTATCGCGTTTCCCAAAAAACGGTTTGATGTAGTGGACAAGACGGCAGAGCAAGTGGCACTGCTTGTTGTCTCTTATACATCTCCCATCGTGTCGCCCAGAGATGGGCACCCCATGTGTACGAGAATGAGCCATACTCTTTCGAACACCGCAACCGGTGCACAACGGCGTGGGAGGAGGGCATTGTTGGGAAACGGGCCCAAGGACATGGCGCTTTTGGAGAGCCCTGTCTTCCACACTCAAACTGTCGGGTAAACCTGCGACGCTTTGCAGTGGCCGATCGAGTGTTTGCAGTTGTTACTCGGACACGGTCAGTGAGTTATTCCTGCGAAAGCCACACGTACCCGCGACCATCAACTACTGCTGTGTTCTTTTTTCTTTGTCGGTGCGAGCAAATGCGGCACAACTTTCAGGTTACGCGGACTGCCATGTTGTGGTTCGTGTAGATGATTACCGTTGGTGACACTATAACACAACCTGGTCCGATTTTCGAAGCACAATTGCTCCACGTGGAAGGAGATGTACACATGACTATAAAACGGTTCCAACGCCGCCATTGTCGGCACCGCTAGAGTTGTGCCCCGGCTCGAAAAACTGGAACAGGGTACCCGTCTGGCGGGTTGGAACCTCCCGGGCACCCGGGTATTCGCGAGGGGGCGCCGTGTATGTATTTTAGGGGGTACCTCATGCTTCTGTGGGTTCCGTGCCACCAAAACCCGCCTTGTGAATATCACCATGTACCCCCCGGATTTGTGGTGCTGTACAACCAAAACCAGGAACCCGTTAGCGGGTACCCGGTTCTGCCCCTGCCGGGGCACAACTCCAGGCACCTCCAACTCTCTCTGCTGGGGAGTATGTAGTTGAGTCGTGCAAATCGGGCAAGGGGGTGGGATATCTTCTGTCACTTACGGCGGTATTCACGGTATGCGCGCACTCAGGCCCACAGATGAAAAATCGATTCTGGTGCCGGTGGTGGTGCTGCCTGTTGCTTTTCGTGCTAGATTGCTGCTCACAATAGAATCAGCTGTTGCTAGTAGCTGGGTGAGACTCTGAGACGTGTGTGCACCCCCGCATGGCGAGCGCTCGCGTCGTCCGGTTGGTTGTTCCGCCGCCCGGGGTCGTCCACCGTGTGTCTGTGACAGCTTATGTCTAGGATCTTGCGGAGCCACCGGGACCCGAGCATGAGCACAGCGAGAACACCAGCGTCATGCACCTAGACACACATACACAGGGAGAGAGAGAGAGCGAGAGAGAAGTACTGCCGTACCGAACAATGCCAGGGGACCACGGATTGTACCTCCAATAATGTCGGAAGGCATTCACTCTATTTTTGCTGACCGTGCCTAATCTTCGTCCCCACTTCTCCCCGGCCAACAGTAGCAGCAGGAACACAATGGAAGACCAAACTCGACAACAGCAGCCACCGCCTCAACAACATCAGCAGCAGCAACAGCAGCCGCCACAGAACGTGCACCGCACCCTGTCAGTGTCGAGCAGGGCCGCCGTGAACACGGTCGGTCAGCTGAGAGAACGTTTCGAGCAGCTCGAGGAAGCGCTCCGAAAGACGACAGAGGTCGTGTCCTCGCAAAGCTCGACCATACAGGTGTGTGTGTGCGAGCGACAAAACAGTTGAAAGAGGCGACGTAGGCAGGAGATTCGCCAGAGAGCGGCGGGCGGAGCCGTCCGTAGAACTATCTACTTCATTTTTTTTACTGCGATGGTTGGCGGGGGGCGCTGTTGGGACTCTGCGGTCTGAAGCACACACAAGTCTGAAATCTTGAGTGTGGGCTGGCTGTCTTTGTTGCCCTGTGTGACCCTGACTGGTGCTCTCAACATGTACCGGGTTGTGTAGACTTGCACCCAAGGTAGATGGGGGGCGAAAACACACGTACGCAGTATCTGTATTTTATCCGGGGGTAGCATAGCCCCCCCCATGAGGCTCCATCCGGGAGTCCAAGATCATGGCCGTTATTAGCGTTTTGTGTTTCAACCGCACTGAGACTGGCGTCTTTTCACTGGTCGGACGGCAAGCGCGATGGACGCTAATAAAACACGCACACACATCTCCTCACTCTTACCCGCTCATCTCTCGCGTTTTCTCCGTCACGCTCGACCCCTCGCTATTTCCGTCCTTGCCCCCCTGCCCCCTTACGTGCAACGGACGCTCTGCGTGCTATGTTTGTTCGGGCCGCTCGCTCGCGCGACGTGGCGGGTCTGGCGGCGGCGGCGGCGGCGGGTTCGATCGGACATGCTGGCTCGCTTGTGGCAGGAGCTCCTGGAAGCCAAACTGGAGCTGGCGCAGATTGTCGGGAGCCTAGAGAAGGTACGCGGGTTCGAAGGGCGGGAGTGTTCTTGCTCATGTAGTCTACAGCTAGCGCCCGCACTTACGACGAACTTGGTAGTTGAAAAACTTCATGCTCAACAAAAATACTGCATGGTAGCAACTTGAGCACCGTGTGTGACGTCGGTTTAGAACCGCTATGCTGAAGCCTAAAACTTCATCCCCAACATTATACTACATGATGGTAGCAACTTGAGCACCATTCGCGACGTCGGTTTAGAACCGCTATGCTAATACCTCTTGTCTATAAGCGGCCGTCTGTAGCTTATCCGTCGGAACTACAAGGTAAGGTACGAACCCTGTACTCGGCAAAACCTGGACGTTCATAAGTGCGGGCGCGACGTACCCTTCTTGTTGTTTGACTCGTGACGTAACACTTGCTTGGCAAGCGCGCGCTTGCCTATCATCGTCGACGTCGGAAACCGGAAGTATAGCAAAAAGAACCAGGTACTGTAGGGTTCACGCCGGCTTGTACACCGCAAATGATGGAAGACGCTTGGCAGAGGTTTTCCATTTCCCTGTTTTATTTTGTTTTTTGTTGGCAGAGGAACGTGGCTATGTATGCGGCATTTGTAGCCGTTTGCCGTGTGCTGGTGCGTTGGGTTTTACTCAGTGCCGTATCGGTGTGCTCTGGCTCGAAGGGAGAGAAGAGGCCGTTGCCGCAAGCATAGATGTTGAGGTCTACATTGCGGTCTCTCGGATCTAATTGCTTGCCAAACTACTCATGCGCAGCCCGATGTCGACCTGCGCTCACGCCCCGCCGTGGGTGACTCTGGGAAACTTTGCAGCATGCAGCATGCTGCACGTGGAACCAACAGTATTGGTGCACATATGCTTATCCTCGGCCCTTGCCGGTGCCCATGGTTGTTTCGTTTTTCTGCTCGGTCCCTACCGTGTCATTCTGTTGGCGTGGTTGTAACGTTAGAAGAGACGCGATTGGTGCGCAAACGTGTGCAGACATTTTCCAAGTACGTAAGTGAATCTAACAATGTCCATAGACGGCAGCCACGACTTGTGTTGCGGGTTAGATACGACGGAGAATACACAACAGGACGCTGGCGGGAGAAAGTTTGTTGCACATTTTTTTGCATCCACCTTTGTCGTTCCTGGTCCACAACGGCAGCAGCTCGCATTTGCTCTTGTGCTAGCCCGCGGTTCCTCGGCCTACCTCATAGCCCTATTGTTTGGGCGGCAGAATACACCTGAGTTCGGGCTTGAGATGCCGAAGAGTTTCTATTCTGTTTGTAGGCATTTTCTCGGACATTGCTTTCCTCCCCCCCCACCCCCCCCCCCTTCTGCTGCATGAATGTAGGTTTTCTCGAGTGTGCCTAAACCGCTCCTTGTGTTTTTTTTTGTTCGTTGCCCTCGACACAGTTTCAGTTCAACGAGGTGGACGCGGTGGCAACACACGGGCTCACCACCGGAAAGGACGAGGTGAGCTCTACTTAAACGGTGGACGCACCAGTACAGCTCGAGCGAGACCCAACAAGCATGATCGTACTAAGAGTCGGATGTACCGAGGAAAATTTAACCAACAAGGGCGCACGAAAACGGGGGGGTGTCCCTGCGTCGTTCGCGTATGACCGGCTGGCTACGTGAATGCGGAAGTTGTCACGGGGGGTGGTATGCAACATACACCCACCGAGTCTATGACTCTATCTGTAGCTTACATTTCGGAGACTCTTTACTCGGTTGCGGCGAGGACTGCTCGAGAACGGACCAGTCAGTGAAATGCAGGAGCACCGGAAAGTGAACGGCAAGCCTGCCCTCACGCGATAAATGGTACCCGTCGCCTGTGGGAGATACCACGTGGAAGCCGTGAACACGCGCGCCTTCTACGATGAGAGGGAAGGACGGGACCTTCGTCGACTGTGCCAATTGACCGTCTTGGAAAAGTTGCCTCAGTCGTGAGGGGGTACACAATGCGCCATGAAAAAATCATTTTGTTCGTTGACGGGGGTCATAGGTCTCGGCGATGCGATAGCCGTGCATGCGCGTCTTGCTAGAGTCAACGGACAGGACACCAACCGGCTGCTTGTGGCACCTACCGTTGGGTGTGTGTGTTTGTATTTATGTCGATCTTCTCGGGAAACAGGTGCGTCAACAGCGGAAGGATCTCACGCGGGCGGTAACGGCCCTCGCGGAGGAGGCCACGGGCAGACACAGAGAGGCGGCGGAATTAATCACGGCGATGTCGCCCAGTAGCAGCAACAGTAACAGCAACAGCAACAGCGGCGGCGGCAGGTAGCACCACGAAACGACGGGACGGGTACAAGATGATGTGCAGACTTGTACCTGATGCATCCATGCAGCACGCCAACCGCGGCGGCGGGTGGAACTCCCTCGGGTCGTGAACGAAGCGAAGCCTTGAACCGTGCCTGGCGGATTTGTATCGCCGGGTTTCTGTTCCAGGCTCGAGAGAGAGAGAGCTAACGAAAGGATCGAGAGCTGGTTATTTGAGCGGCTTTTTTTTGTTCTGTCTCAACCGGCATTCTTGCGTTCGTTCCGGGAGTAGGACGTGCTATGATGCTCCTGTTTAGTTCTTGCCGCCACGTGAGTGATTGCTGGGTGTGGTGGTGGTGCAGTGAGCGGCCTCGGTACCGCCCGCCCCCACCTTGCCATGTGCCACCTCGGTCCCTTGCTTGCGAAACGAGAATCCTTCTACTGGTTGGTTGTGGCACGCATGTGTCATGCAGATGTATGTGTTCATCTTGGAACACGAAGAGGGCAAGGACGCCGCGAGATGTGTATCTGTATTTTTCCCAGCTGTGTTGCCGCGTGTGGTAGTGGTGGTGGTGGTGGACGCGCTTTTTGTGCATCAGGTCACTTAAGATAAGCGAAGCGACCACTCTTTCATTTTCGCTAGCCATCAACTCGTTTTTTCTTGGTGTGTGGAGCTTTCTTGTTGACACTAGCATTCGTCGCCTTAGCGGGAAAAATGCTACCGTGCCGATCGTGTGCCTCTGTCGCGAAGCGGTGTACGTGCCCCGGGAGTGTGTAACCATTCTCGCGACGGACCACGCGCGCCATAAATCGGGCATCCGCTGCGTTGCACGCAATAAGTATGTACAGGACCGCCCCGCCACTTTATGAGTTGGCAGCATGAATCCAAGCAGTTTTTGTATTTTCTGCCTTCAGTTTCGGTCGAACGAGGACCTTGTGGCCCAATGTAGAGTGAATGCAGAGGTTTAGAATGGTAAATCGCTGTATTTCTTTGGAGATCCGTGCCCTGAAAAAAATGAAGTTGACTATTATGTACATGCTGGGGTTTGTACGTGTCTGGATCTAAGCATGCGAACCTCCAGGGTGGGCTACAAAAATAAGGGAATTTGAGTACAGCGGCGCCAAGGGTATTATTTTCCGGTTGGAGGAACCACAAGACGTCAGCCGCGGAAAAGTAGCTCCCATCTGAAGGAATATATCGTAGTAAGTAGGGGACGGGGCTTCAGCAGCCCCCTTTAACGGATAAATCCCGCCCCTCATGCGACCAGTATTCGAACACCAATAAACAAGTGGGGCCTTTTCAAGGATCATTCCAGGTTGTGGAGCCCGAACACAATCTCTTTTACAGTCAAACTGGAGAAATGCAGTCAACCACTGTTTGATTCCAAACTGATGCTGCGCTTTAACACAGGTAAGGGACGATGCTGGACTACATGTGAACAATGTTTTCATGTAGGGCCTGAGTACGGTGGTGGGCGGAGGTTATGAGGAGAGTAAACTGGAGACAGAGTATAGTATGGATTAATCAATGAATGAGTGAGTGTGGTTGGAGGGGAAACGTTCAACGGACATTACTTATCGACGGTGTGAAGAGGTTCCCTGCCTGCATATCATGGCCTCCAAACGTAGTGTGTGAAACCTTGGCGAATGGAGGCCCTCGCGAGAGTACCTCTACATCAATTCTCAGGGCGATTGCACGCACAATTCCTTTTCTTCGATTAGATATTGCGAATGAACATGACCAGCATCCAACCAGATTCTAGGTCAAGTGCATGCATGTGATGGCACGAAGGATACACGACTTGCAGGATTTCCAATGAAGTGACCTCGGGGATGTCGTTTATGTTGGTTTGCTTTCAGCTATAATGCGACCTCTCTCTCTGCCTTTTAGCAGCAGGAGTAGTGTGATGGGGTGTTTTGGACGCACTGGCCGGGGTCATACAGACGGAAAACAGACAAACAAACCCAGAAAACTACTCGTATTATTAGCACCAAAAAGCAAGCTACATGTGTTCCAGACATCTCTTTTAACCGGAATAGTTACCTCTCACCTGGGCACAGATAATAAGCTATATCTGTGAAGATCGATCATGCAGAACAATCAAGCGGTGGTACGACTTCAAGCGGGTGATCGGCGACGCCCAACAGCAGTCATATGGTTCCTCACAAGCTCGATAATCAGATTATCAGGTTCAGCACTCACCACAAGGGTTGGCAGTTGGTCAGGCACAAAGGCAAAAGGGTATGGCTCAGTTTCTCTTGCGTGATCAGCGATGGTAACTAACCACCTGGGTGTTGGTCAGGAAAGCACGCCGAGGGAGGCGGTACAATCCTGGGGGTCAGGGAACATGTCCTGAACATCCCCAACAGGCTGGACCGGGGGAACATAATAGGTCTGTTCGAATCCCCGGTCATTACAGCTCGCGCCCTCCGGATACTTCGCGATCATAGAGAAGTATCCATCATCGTATTAAGAACCGATTGGGACGTTCGGCCGGAACAGATGGTGTGACGTGCAGGCAGGGGAATGCCACACAACAACAGAGAGACAGCCAGACAGCCAGGAGTGGTTGTAGTGTACTCACTAACTGTTGTACCAGAATATATTCTTCTGCAGTTGTCTCGAAAATGATTTATTCGTCCATCCGCAGTTCGATGCCCTCTTTGACTGATAGAAGTAAAGATACTTATAGATAGAATAGCTGTGTCGACTTCAAAAATTGTGCCTACATTGTTAACCGGCCGTGTGGAATGGTTTTCATACCACCTTCACGAGGAAGTAAGCAGGCAGACGCGATATCATCTTCTCCAGCAAATTTGTATGTTTGTTTTTCGGTCGTAGACAATTCTACGCAGATGATGTTACTGCTGTACAATAAGAGGAGGAGTGTTTTGCACGTATTATGCCAGAATAAAAAACACAGAGAAAAATAAATGAAAGGACGGGGAATGAAAAATGAAAGAAGAAAAATATATGTTCAACCAGGTCCGACGAAGAGTGAATGAATGAATGAGTGATTGTAGAGAGAGAGTGAAACCCCGACAGGAGCCGCGTATTTTTCGATTACTCCGGAGTATGCATAGGATACAGATTTTTCAAAGAAGACACATACATACGTACACGCAATACACAGCCGAAATATTATCACGCATGTATATTTCACAAAACACACACACTTACCTGCACGTACGTCGGGGGCGGGACTACCAACCAACCAAGACGACGTACTCCGGATATTTTATCAAGATTATCATGGAGAAAGGAAGAAACAGAAACAACATGGTTCCCTGCATGGATTCGAACTCACATCCACAGCGACCTGAGCCCTGACCTCTCTACTGACTGCTGTTTTTGGCACCCCGTCACACCAAGTCCTACACGCACATACACATCCATATACAAAGGTGCTCTCTCTCCCATATTGATCTCGCGGCTGACATACGTCGCCTTCTCTGCTGATCGCTGCATCCAGGTGGGTAATTTCTACATGTATCCTTCGCCGTACTCCGTAACATGTCAACACCACTGCTCCACACGGAGAGACCAACTGCCACTCGCTGCTGCTGCTGACCTTCATGACGGATGCTCTACAACGTGATTACGACATGGTTGCGACAAGATATCTCGGCAAACCGCTCTGAGGAACACCAGGCAGGGAAGTTGGCAACAACCGCCACATTGGATGTATTATATCATTTGGAAACTGTCCGTGCTTTACTGATGATGTTGTTTACCAACACCAAACATAACAAGAAACAAGCTGACATGATACAAACTGAATGCTATGCCCTACCTACCATGCACCAGATGTACTATTCTCATCTACTGTAAGCATCACTGATACGTTTAGTAAATTAAAAAAACGGAGGGGGGAAACAACAAACTGCTGCCCGTGCTTCAATTTTAATTGTATTATTCCTAAAATCTAACAAACCAGCAAGCTGTCAATAGACACTGCGCCGTGTCCCCTGTGAAGGCTACATTTTACAAAATACACGACACAACGGAGGGATTCTCCCAGATATTTTGTCGTTGACCTAGTAGAGAACTACAGGGGATGGCTGTATTGTAAAATGTAGGTTACCTATACAGACAGATGTTTTTTGTACTTGGCACCAGCTGACATGACTGATACAAATCATCAGCGTACAAGTATAGACAGACTTGAAAAGACTCGAAAAAAGTCCAGTACCCAGCCGGTTTTCCTCCACTCACTGAAAAGACTCCACCACATCCCGTTCGACTGTGGGTATATATTTCGAATGGGTAGTCTTTCTGTGCGTGTGCTTATTTTTTCCTTCATTACCTTTCTTTATCGTCTCCTAAAAACCGAAAATTTCTTAATTACTTGAGATTGTATGGATTAATTAAATTTGCCAGAGCAGTGGCAAGTGTGAGAGTGTGAGAGGGTTCGTAGAAGAACTGCTGTTCCTCCGTACACGACTTTGCTCATACAGAAGCCGGGCTGCACTGACTGACACCTGGCACCAGGGCTATTCGTTGTTTTTTGCTGTTAAGAAAGAAAGGAGTTTTTCACGTCTAGTTATATCGAAGAGTGGGCCGCGTGTGTGTGTGCTCGGGGACAGACTTCTGTCCGTGAGCTTACCCGCCTTGAGTTCAACTCCTCCAACTTTGGCGATTTTTGCACATGGCCAAAGAGCGTCGCCTGCAAGGCGCTTGCGCCTGAAATAATTGGTCTTGCGTCCATGTGTTCTCCCCAAACCCAAAAACAATTAATTAAATCAAACACCCCCATACGTTTATTTTATTCTTCGACCATGCAGTGGGAAATATTTATTATAAATTACTCCTACGTTCTACATTGTTCTATGTTCAGTTGAAGGTTCCGACTTTGATCTATGTTTCAGTCGAGCCACGGTGCTGGGTGCTGGGGTATGGGTCGCGGTCGGTGCGTTCTTCTTTGCTACCACAGAGTTTGTCCGTAAATAGCATACCCGCCCGCGCTTTACTCAGCGGTTTAGCCTTCTCGCCGGCGTGTGTGTTTTTGCTCTAGCCTTGCAGCAACTACGGGTCCGGACGAGTACGTGCGTTTTTCCGTCGGTCTGTTCGAGTCAAGCGGCCCAAAGCTGCAAGATAGAGATTAGTAGAGATGGATTCATTGGGTCTCACAGCTGCCTGAACACAGAAACGGACGAAGTGCTCCCCGAACAGTCTCCATCCACTGCTAGATACCGACCACGCGACAAAGATGTACAACTGCTGTTGTTCTTCCAAAGTGAGAATTTGTGCCCATGTCGCGGGACTGGCGCACCGACCAAATCAACACGAAGCAGCGAAGGGGACTCTTGGCGGGTTCTTCAAGAACAACTTCCGTTATTTGCGTTGGAAACTGCGTTGGGCGGGTGAAGAAAAGGGGGTTCTATGAGTTCTTTCTGCCGTTCTTCGCGGGCTCTTCGAGCTCGAATACGTTTGAAATAGCTTTTCAGCACGGACCCCGCTCCCACTTCGCACGCGAACCCACTCCCCCTCCTCTCGGTTCTCATCTCGGCTCTCACCTCGGTTCGAAGCGGCTCTCTGACCGCTTGCAGTACGAGGTACGGGCGATCAGAGGAGCTTCCATCGTGTCTTCTTCCTCTCCTCCTGCTGAGAAGAATGTGAGAATCGGGTTGAGATCCGGGTTGAGAGCCAGTGTGAACTGAACTGAACTGAACTGAGCAATGAACAAAACCACCTCCCACGCCAGCGAAGATGGAACGCCACACTTATGTTCGTGTGCTCCCATCTCTCTGCCCCGTGCCCGAATCGCCGAGTTTGGTCGATACTCAAGGTATCGATATGATCGGCGCCTTGAACGCTCGTACCACTCCGTACCACGTATGTATGGAGGAGGGTCTCTCCCACACTTTCGCGGGTTTTGATTATATATGCGACGACATGGGCAGCCCATGGGCTGCTCATGGGCACAACGTTGCGCCCTCTTGGGCGCCGAAATGCCAATTTGCCGATGGGGACCGCTTGCTCATGGACAGCCAGCCCATGAGCTGCCCATGAAAAACGCCTATCTATGGGCAAGCCCATGGGCAGCTCATGGAAGGCACTCCAGGGCTGCGTTTTTGACCACGGGCGGGTT